AGTCCGGATGGATGAGTTGGGAGAAGGGGACGCGGGCCCAGGGACGATCGTGGAGTTGCTGGCCCTGGCCCCAGGGGATTCGCTTGGAGTAGACGGAGGCGCGGAGGGCGGTGCCGCGGCCGGGGCTCATTTCGGCGAGCCATTTGATCCCGCTCTCGGATTCGTAGCCGTCGTCCCCTGGTTCGTGAATAAAAAGGATTGAGAGGCGTTTTTTCGATAATTGTCAGGATGGTGCTATTCCTTCGCAGAAATTAAGTAGCACTACGTGATGCGCCTTAGCTTCCGCCCGTTACAGAGCCGCTCATTCAGGGTCAGAGACTTCCGCTGTAGACTCATAACTACACCGGTGCAAGCAGCCTTCAAGATGATGCTCATGCGGTTGAAAAACCTGTCGTTTCGATAATCGAATCAGGCAGGAACTCACACTGAACGAAGAGCGTGTCGTTCTCCACGCGAGCACGAGTCGGCTCGATGTGAAGGGGGATGGCGAGGAGATCCTGCTTCCTCTGGAAGGTGCGGTGGTTGTAGGACGTCGCGGAGCGACAGTGGTCCCTCAGCCAGATCCACGGGAGGCTCAGCCGTTCCCCGGACCCCGTGCACACCTCGACCACCTTCCGCTCCCGGTCGATTCCCACGGCCTTCGCTTCTCCTGTCAACGGCGATGTCATTCCAGTCTTCGCGCTCTCGACTCGAGTCACTCTTTCAACTTCGCATGCGGATTAGATTCATTGTAATAAGACTATCAGCACGGAGGCCTACCATCTCTATCGATCCGATTTCGTGGATTCTGGTTGCGCCTTCGACGGGGATTAAGTTGAAATATCATTCATTTGTTCCCTAATGCTACGAAACTAGCAACAAAAGTTGATGCTATAGCTCACACGTTTCTCGAGCGGCTTCAGCGGTTCGTCTGCGGCTCCAAAGTTGGCCGAGGGTGGAAACACTTATACCGTGGATCAAACGGACTCTTTTCACCCTACCTGAGCTGGTAACGTGCCATAGAAATAAACAGGTAGAGATTTTGAAGAATCCTTTCAGCTACCGCCCTCAATTTTTTACCTTTTCTCATAACTATATTTTCACAACGTATAACTTCCTTCATGCAAGCCCCTCATAATTTGGTAACTTGACCTTGAATACCTGTGCTTAACTAGTCCAGATTACTTCCGTCAACGGAAAATGATCCCATGCTACCCTAAAACGCAATACAAGCACAAGCAGCTAACAAAGCGCGTCCAACACCCTTGACGATCCTCGCTCGCTTGAGCGACCCGCGGAAGCGATTCGCGGAAGCCACTTGACTCACGTGCCGAGGCCGCACTTGCCAACTGCCTGTCGATCGATGAACCGAAGGGAAGGCAGCGCTTTCCCCAGACGTGGGGGAAGAGGGCTCGAACGACCGTCGCCATCCTTTCACTCCGTTTCCCTCGAACCTGTTTTTCTCATGCTTCCCTTTTCTTATCGCAGGATCTTGTAGTGTATCTCTCCTCGGTTGGGTTCTGGCCGAGGTGCATTCCTTTATCTAGGGGAGAAAAAACAACCTTGCTTGACGGATCTTCCCATCTGTAATTCCATATTTTCTTTTTTTTGTGTTCTCGTCCGGATGACTTACAAGAAACGAATCAATATAGATTTTTTTACTTTTGGGAGATGAAATGATACAAGCGGGTTTTAAGGACATGATCACGATACGGTTTATGGTGGCATATATATACGTTAAATAATCTCATGAGCGACATCCCACGCCGAAGACGGCTGGCTTCCATCCGAATACTGACCTCATTTTACGAGTATTAGCATTTTCGCCAAGAAAGCACTGAAAAATAATTCCTTTTGGCTAGTCTCTAGGTACAGCGAAATCTGATTTTCACTCATTAGATTGCCAACTTGGTTGTCAGGGCGTTACCTCCAGTCCCTAATGGATCCTTTCGTTACCTGCAAGTACTCAGAGGCGTCATGAATTAGTTGACACTAATCAAGGTGGGAGGAAGGACAGAGAGCTTCAACCCCTTCCCCATCCCTTTAGACGCACACGTGAAAAGGGGGTATGGGTGGGGGTGGGTGGGGGTGGGTGGGGCCGGAGGATGATGATGCAAGATTGTGATATGAGGAGGCGATTTCACCACATTTCGATATCACGTGTCAAGGTCGAGCGTTCCGGTAGGCTTTATAAAGCTCTAAGCTCTTAAGAATAAGAGCACTGTTATTATACTGCTATACTATACTATACTGCAAAACTGCTACGTTGGGCATTGAAGTTCGGTGCTTTTCCATTCCAAGGAATGGAAATGAACCACCATTTCCTACCGTTCCCAATCTTCCCCATTCTCGGATTTGCGATCACCACATATATGGTTTGTGCTCATTGCACAAAGATTTTGCCTATTTCACATCAATCAATTCCATGAAACTCATTGCCCGGAATGCAAGATACGTGCAATAGGGAAGAAAATGCTGCCGATTGTGGGACTGCTGAAGGAGTGCAATTTATTTCATACGCTGTCAATTATCAATCATGCGACAAATTAGTCGAAATAATGGGTTCATGTCTTCTAGTATCCAGTGTTTTCTATAAAGTAGTGATTGAGCTTGATCAGAGTGGCACGTGCTCTCGCATCTAACTCCTACAGCATCATGAAGTTCGGAAATTGGTATCTTGGCATCTATTGAATTCCCTTTAAATTCTCTTTCCTGCATGTCGACTCGTAAAAGTCGACCATGTCCATGTCCATGTCACACGACTTGTTCGTGGTGATGACAATGCCGGCCAGTGACAATGCACGAAGGAAAATAAAAACCATACCAATGGATTCTGAGAGCTAGAACAAGAGTCTTCTTGGAAATGCGTTTTTCCAAAAAACAGAAAGTAACATGGAATACGGGATATGTTCAGGACAGAAATGAACCTGAACCAGGGTGGCAGAACGGTATGCATAATATGTAAATTTATATCTATATTTAAAATTATATTTATAAGACACAAGTATACCAGTAGAAGCCAGAGGGAATGGAACAAAAGAGTTACTTTCCATCTTCGGCTGGACACGGACATACCCTCACGTGGGGTGGCTCCAGGTCTTCTGTCGACGCATATGATGCTGAGAAGGGTGAGCCTTCTCCCTTCTCTCTGGGATGGACCGGTTTCCAATTACGGTCGGGGACTGATCTTCCATGGACAGAAGGCGAGCCCGGTTCACCTGCAAGAAGGTCCAAATGTCACTCCGAAAAAGCACTTCCCATCAGAGAACGCAACGATGCAAGATGGACTCACCCAAAGCCGGACGACAGGGGAAGACAACCAATGAAGCTCTACGAAGTCTTATCGGAATCCCAAGCGCTTTTAAACCCTTCCTTGCCACTCCCCCCACACACCCAAACCCCTACCCCTTCCACCTCACCCCCTACACACCCCCTCCACCTCTCCCCCCACACACCCCCTTCTCCACCCCCTCCTGATCTCAAGGACGCAAAATCTCGCCCCTTTTCCTCGTGACATCTGCCTTCCGACCGCCTCCCTAACGTGCTCCATATGAATCTCCATCACGAATTTCTCACCTCACGGATCCAAGAAAGTGCCAGCTTTCCCAATTCCGTTTCTCTCCTAACAAATGTGATCTCTCCTCGCGATCACTCTTACTTCCATTATATGTCGCCATTGGATATTGAATAATTGCTCTTCCTACCTTTGGGCATTTCCTTGCAAATACCTTCGCTCGTAACTTGTCTTCAAAGAACTGACAAAGCAACTCCCGAAGCTCGATCGTGCATGCATCCACGCCGACGCTGCTGGATTGCGTGCGATGCCATGGGATACGACCGCTGCCAAGCGCAAAGCGACAGGAAGCGATGAAAAGAGCTGTCGCCCTGGAATTCGAGCCGCTCCGGCGTTTTTCCACGTTCCATGTCTAGTCCACATTTCCACGTTCCTAGTGCCTCGTTTCAGATTCTTCCAGAATACGCTGAACTTTGGAATCAGGAAAAAAAAAGTTTATTTTCAACATAGGTTTTATGTTATTGCAAGCTAATCACGTTGCCAACTGAGTTACTGACCACTCAGTGTATTTTAATTTTCCATGAATCCAGGATGTTGAATTTCTTGCGGATACTCAAGCTCGAAAATATTCAATACATTTCTTCCACTCGATCTGTTTCGAATCCTCGAATCCCATCTCGCCGGAGTCCTAAGCTTCCTTTTGGCTCGGGCAACGGCCTGCCCCAATCGGCCAACACATCCGACTCGTCTCAACCTCACGCCCCGCATAACTGCCGCATTAATATTTTCCTCCTTGGCACAAATTCACTTTAATTCGCATAGCATCGAAGAAAGGAAACCACGGCTGATGGAACTTCCAGCGTTTTGCGTAGAGTTTTAATAACTCAGGTACCAATGTTTTTTTTTAGACCACGCAGTACACGTAATTACTTACTATTATTATTATTATTATTATTATGTGTTACATGCATTTAAAATACATCTCCTGCCGGCCTGCTTCCCTACATCAGCGATGGACCTTCCCGTGAGGGCTTTCAGTCCACCCCATCATTCCTGGGGGCAGGCGGACAGGTGTGAAAGAAACCCTGACGCCCCCAACAAGGGCGGNCCGATGGTCACACGATCGTGCAGATGCCTTACTCCCAGCAGGCCTCTCCCACCCTCATCTCGTGGAAGGTATAGACGTTGAACGGAAGATTTAGGGTGGAGACTACGGTGCAGATTCATGGTTTTCCTGGTCGCGCGATCCAAGTCTTCCAGCTCTTTGATGGTCCAATGAAGGACACCAAAGGTGTAGACGAGGACAGGGATTGCAAAGGTTTTGGTGGCCGTCACCTTGTTGCGAGCGGAGAGCTCTGAGCCCCATATCCACCTTAGGCGACGCTTGTATTCCCTATTGAGGGCCGATTTGATGGTACTCACCTCCTGGGACTGCCGCTCTGGCACACCAAGGTAGGTGTATGGCTCTTCTGCGCTGAGATGGCGGATGACAGTTCCATCAATCAGGTCCAGGTCTTTGCCCATGTCAACTACCCTGCCCTTCTTCATCTCCAAGATGGCACATTTGTCTATCCCAAACTCCATTCCGATGTCGGTGGATTATTATTATTGGTTATTATTATTATTATTATTATTATTATTATTAATGTTCATGATTGAGTGTTTTTAGGAATGGCCTCCGAGGCCTCATGCAAATGTTTTGTGTGCAACCCAAAGCTGCGGAATAGTCTCTTCCAAGAACGTAGAGTTGACACCATTTTACAATGGTGTCATCCCTACCGTTGAGATCTAAATTTAAAATGAGTTTAAAAAAAAAAACGTAAACATAAAAAATACCAAGAAAAATGAATCATGAATATATATGAATGAGTCCCGGTGGTCGGAGCCGGTATTGTTAGCTAAAGAGTAATGCCTTATGAGGGCGTGTCTTTTAATTATGGCTGTACCGATGGCCAAATTTGGCCGACGGACCGATGGCAGATTTTCGCCACAAATTCATTGGCTAAATCCGATCGTGGTGATGGAGGAAACATCAAAATGCCTTATAATTTCAAAAGTGTTGAACAGCACATCCCTAGCAAAATTATAACATGAAAGGAGGCGCAATGATGCCCGCTATTTTTTTCTCGCCATTTTCCATCGCCAATTCCCGGAACTGAAACATGATCTGGCCCGCGGACTCGTCCGGGAGAGGCCGGAGGGAGATACGCATCGCCGTGTTCACGCGCTCGCGTTATTTCGTTTTGCCCTTGCTTCGGGCAAGGAAGCTGGCAACTCGGCCGACAGTGCAACCCCGACAGGCAGGGAGCCCCAGCCGTTGCAGGCTGGGAGAGGAAACCATTTCTGAGTCCTGATGCTGTGGGCTGCCTGGCACCGGTATTCATCTTCTCTTTTTCCTCCTGCTCGGTCGATCCTCCATCATCGGGCTTTAGTTGTTAAGTGGATGACGGACCCGTCATTTTATCGCCAAAACGGAAAAATAACAGGAAAGCCGATTCGATCGGGCGTGTGTCCTTCCGGTTAGTCCATGCCGTAGAAAAGGCAGGGCTTCGTAAACCACGAGCATCGTCACGGTACGAAAGACGTAGGTCGCATCGGCCTGGTAACGAAATCCGCTACATTCAGTCGATGTTTGGGCACTCTGCATGCATGCCATAATTGCGTAGATGGCAACGACAACACGTGCCGTATCGTGGATACGTCTTCGCCGACGGGAATAGATACTGGGACGAATTTCAGAGGACTGGTCAGATGGGGGATAGGAGAAAGGGTGAACATGGAGTTTCCCTGCCACAATGCAGTCCCTTCCTCGATGCCAATGAGTTTTAAGGCAGAGAGACATCGGGATGATTAACGGGCGCCAGTTGAGAGATGGTTGCCGCTGCTCCTTAGAATATGCCAATGATGCAAACACTGGGTTCATAATTTGACAGTATTTACATGACTTCGTGTGTACACCCTAGGAATCTGTCGACGATATGCGTATGCATGAGGTACTGAACAAGGGTCTGGAATGAGGACCCACATCAGAATGGACCAAGGATCATGGGACTTTCCCCCCCCCCCCCTTTTTAGTTCTTTACTCCTTCCTGCGACGTCTAAGCCTGTGTCTGCAACTGTTGCCGCCAAAGATAAAAAAAATCCCCAGAAGGAAGAGAAGAGAACCATGCGTCGCTTCGTCGAGCTTCCAAGGGGACTCAGGATTCCAAGCGATTTCCCTCTTAATCCATTCGCATCCGGAGACTTTTTGGCCGCTCTGCCCTAACTCCCAGCTACTTCGGCCAGAGTCTGAATGAGCTTTGATTATCGGATGAAATTGAATATGGACTCGATAACTCCATGGATGATCCCCTAGTGGTATGATACTAGCAGTACTCTACCGAGTACGATCATTCCACATGAAGGACCCTCAGAGTTTTATTTCCTCTATTGAGTCAGAATTCACATTAAGTACTTACATGACTCAATCCTCTCGGTCCAGTAGAAAAAAAAAACAACCTCGCGGGCACGGTTTTCATACTCCATCCATCGTTGATGAGCCTGAGTTAGGGTGCGTGCCATGTGGAGATTTGGAAAATTGAGCGTGTCTCCTCGGTCCCACTGGTCAGAAGTACTTTGGGTCTCCTTCTGCCTGATTACTTCCTGAAACATATCTTATCTATTCCTATACCTTCCCCTGCGCTGTGAATGGGAAACGATTGGGTACTGGATGAAAAATGCAGGGTACAGTTTATTTCAAGGCATTTGGGTAAGAATCGCGGAATTGGCGGTTAGGTGCCATCTCGCGTCGATTCGTAGAACCTATTTTCTGTTGATATGATGTGGATAACTCCACGTAAAAACAACATTGAGAAAACGATTAAAAAAATTTGCTCCTAATAGCCTCTGAACGACTTCCCTAATTAACGAGTAGTCCCCAGATGCTGAAAATACGATTAATTATGAATATCTAGCATTTCATCTATGTTGATTTTTAGTCGAATTCTCAACTTCAACCAAGTCTCAACGCTTCAACCTATTCTCAGCGTTGACACAACGTTGTTGTGCCGAATGGGAGTCTTTCGACGGCAGCCTTCGGATGGTGGGTGTGATGCATGGTCAGGAGTTTTCCGTTCGTTCGATCGATGGCCTGGAGCTCTGCAGGCGACCGATCGATAAGTAGTTGAGGACTGGGGTGGCCAGGCTGTTGAGGGCAGAGATTTTATTTTTTTGCCGGACAGCTCGGTCTTCAGTACGAGGCGGACTCTGCGTTTGCATTCTGTCGTCAGTCTTTGCTTTGTGCGCTTGACAGCCACGGAAGAATTCTCCTCAACACCGAGATATTTATCAGTGGCCGTGAGCTATCGGAGTCGATTGAATACATTTCGCTTTGTACATTGGTCCGCAGCCAAGAGTCTTTCATTATCGTCAATGATCACTTTCAAAATTTCAATTTTATTTTTTCGGAAGTTATGCCGCTGAAAATGCGGCAACGAGCAATGTTACATTTGAAGGCCAAGTATATAAGTACTGAGGAGGACAGCCAACCCTCAAAATTACGGAACGAAATGCTGCAAACAACCGATATAACCTAGTAATTAACCGGAAAAAGTAAGACCGAAAACAACAACACAGTCTACTTACAAAGCCATGAATACCATAATCTGCTGGACGCAAAGTAAACGTTGACAGTATCAGACGGCAGGTGATACATGAGTAAAGAACGTAGATATAAAAAGTAGTTGGCCAAATTAGCAATTACCCGAATGGGCTGGGAAACAACACTCATTCAAGGCGTGCCTATAGATAGAATAGAAGAAAAACTGCGATGTTCAAACAAACCCTACCCAGAAAGTTTCTACTGCCAGGTGCTACGGCCTATGGAATTAAGCAGACTGTACCGATTGCCTCGGAGGCAATCACGGCTCAAGTCCGTCTGTCAGTGCCAAAGATCGATTGGCTCGATCAGCATCGCGGCTGAAATACATGGTGGACTAGAGGCCAAATGTCATGGGGCTTTTCAACTCTATGCACTAATATACCGTTAGATATTCTGCATCATAGCATTCTTGGGCTTTCCCAGGACTAGGCAGAGTCAGATTTCACATATAAATATACTTTCATTAGTGAAGAGTATTTATCATTTTGAGGAATTGCTTGGACAATAATTACATCAAAATTGGTGATCAGATTTTCAGGCAAAAAATTGGGATTCCAATGGGCAGCAATTACTTTACTAATATGGCAAATTTATTTTAATTTTACTATGAATCGAAACTTATGAATGAAACCCCTAATCCAGAAGCACATTTAAATACTTTCATGTATATGGATGATCTAATTACTATTAATAACTCTGCAATGATCTTCATCGAATTAGAATAAACTGTTTCCCCCTCATACAAATATGCCCATTATCTGGATTTGAATATTTATGTGCAGAGTGAGACATATTGTTTCATCACGGATATATACGATGAAAGAAGGGCTTTCAACTTCGAATTCATTAGTATGCCCGATGCCAGAAGTAATATTCCTAGCCATTTTATCAAAAATGTTATAGTTTCCCAACTGAAAAGATTTTGTCTAATCTGCTCTGACATAGAAGGATTTAACTTTAATAGTGAACTCCTGCACCGAAGGTTAAGGAATAATGGATTCTGAAGAGACCTCTTGAGAAAACACTTTAAACTTTTTTGTCAGGTATTCAAACAAGATCTTCACAAGTATCGGTGATGATGACAGTTTACCGGCGTATGGGCTTCTTTCCCATAACTCTTCTTAATTCATCCTAGGGTTTAGCTGATCCAGTTCGTCGGGTTGGGTCAAGTGTTATTGGCCTAATGTGCCAAGGCCAGGCCTGAAGGTAGCAGAGGCAACCTGGGCATCTCTCCAGTCCGTCAGCGTAGGACACAGTTAACTGAATGCATGATAGGGCCTTTTCCCTGGGCTACGCTTTTTCTTGCATAGGCTTGTGTCGCAACTGGCCTTCCCCCCCATTTGCTCTTCCCTCATAGGCTTGAGCCATTCCGGACCATGCTCGCTCCTTTTCCTTCATAGGCTTGAGTCTCCCATACATTTCAGTCGCGAGGCTGATCGAGCCAATCGGTCGTTGGCTGTGGCATTTCTTCTTTCGTATGGGTATAGCGACTATTACGAATTGATGTTAATCTTTGAAATCCAGTCGATAGTTTTTAGTGATGCTGCGTGTATATCCTTGATGCTGCCGGGAAATGAGTACAATGTGCACTCGTTGATGATGTGCTCCATAGTTTGGATTGGCGTGCCGCATTCGCACGTTGGCGATTGTTTAATACGCCACTTGTGCATCATGTGTCCGGAACGACCATGAAGAGTCCGGATGCGATTTAAGGTCACCCATTCGCGGCGTTGGAGTGTGACACCTGGTACCTCAGCTGATGGATCGTCGATGCGGTTCTTGTTTTTCACGTCCACGCGAGACCAGGCTTCTCGCCAGCGTTCTTCCGTGCACGACCCCTGGTCGTGCAGGATTCTCGCGGCTGTCCAGAAAGGACGTCTTGATTTTATGCGGGACGGGATGGTCTCATCGATGTCGCAATGAATCAGGAGGGACGGGTTGGCAATAATCTGTTGTACTCGCGCACAGTCGCCATTTCCCGCCGGATTTCTGCGGGGGGGATGTGCGCGAGCACTGGGAGCCATGGGAGCGGAGTCGACTTGAGGCATCCGGTTACCACTCGAAGAGCAGCGTTCAGCTGCGGGTCGATTGCGTCTGTGTGAGCGCTGCGAGCCCACACAGGAGCGCAGTACTCCGCGGTCGAGTAGACCAAGGCGAGTGTTGCGGTTCGGAGGGTACGTGCGTCGGATCCCCATGTAGTGCTAGCGAGGCGCTGGATTAGGTTGACCCTCGAGGCTAGCTTATTTCTGAGTTTCTTCAGGTGTTGCCTAAACGTCAGGCTCCTATCCAGTGTTATTCCCAGATAGCGGGGGTTTGGATCGTGCTGGACACTTTGACCGCAGAACTGTGTCTTTAGCGTT